TTTTTTTTTTTTTTTTTTTTTTTTTTGATTTAATGCCTACTCCACTTTCAATGAAAGTGTAAGTGGCACGCACAAATCCCATTGAAACTTATTAAATTCTGTATGAATTTCTTCGCGTTATCCGACTCGAATTTACTAGTAAACCGTGCGGGCCAAGAATCCTCCAATTGAAGACTCGATGGTCTACGTCGCTTCTGAGAATTGAACACCTCGTTTCTACCAGTTATAAACTTTCATTTAATAATAAGAATTAGTTCATCATGGAGGAGGAGATTGACATTCGAGTGAAGGATAATCCAAGGAAACTAGAACACACGTCCAATAATGTACGTTTCTTGTTTACTAGGTGTAGGTGCCAGACCGATAAATTGTCCAAAATGGATCACCATCGTCCCACGAGCAATCCACTTCAGCGTACAGTGCAATGGACTTTGCAAATTTTGGCAAATAATTCAGCGAGCTATTCGAAGTATCATGTACTGCATGAACAAAACCGTGTGCCACTTTGCAGCCTATTTATTACGTTTATCACATAATGAGACATTACGATAAATGGCCTGAATTGATGAAGATGTTGGAGTCGTTGGGTCAGAATATTGGTAGAGAATTGTCGATCGATGAAAATCAGATCTCGGCCATTTTTATAACACTATTGTCCAGTATCATTAACTGTTCACGGTCTTTATTATTACTTCATTGCACCTGACCAAATCTTTACGTCTGATCTACTTCTTTATTAGACAATCGCACAGATTATAGCGAACAGCTTCGTGTTCGATCGTGTATATGATCTGCCACAGATTCAGAGCGATCAACGAGATGATCAGACAGTCAAAACTGTCATATTGGATCGCCTTGAAGATTGAAGGAAAATTAGAAGAAAATTAGATTGCATAACGGCACGTATGCAGAATGCTGGCATCTTTCTTGGCGCATAAATTCAGAGTGGGTGACGTAAGTGGAACAGAGCGTGCATCCTTCTGGCTGAAGAACAGAATTTAATATCTAAGCCAAAATTGGCTTTTCCTCGCTCTTCTTATCAAAAGAGAAATTACTTTTCTTGTCCCCTCACTCTGTGCCACTATGAAACAATTTTGTGAGAATTTTATGTTCTTTAACTTTAGCTTTAGCTTTATGGTTTCTTGCAGTCATGTGTTACATAATAATGACAGTGAATGAAATTTATGAAGTTGATCTGCTGTTGTGCTCTACGAATGCTTTCATCACTGTCCAGGATCTACATGAGCGCTGCAGAGAAGAAGGAGAGCTCTATCTATATTGAGATAAATCTTTCATACGTAGGTAAAGTAAATGTGTGCAAGTAGAAGGATAATATAGATAATACAAGTACACACGATTCTTTTGTAACAAATAAATTATGTATATATTACGAATTTAAATATTTTCTTACAGCAAAATAAAGTCTCTGATCTCACAATATATATATTACTAATGTAAAACGAGTATGAAAATTGATGTTGATGACTGTACAGTTGAAAGAAATAAATAAAATGAAGCGTAAAAAGATGCTCAGTTCAGTGGTCAATGTTATTGTATTTAATCAACTTCTTCGATTGTTGGTCCTCCAGCACCTGCGCTACCACCTCCTGGAGCAGCACCAGGGAATCCACCAGGTGGGGCTCCGCCTTGGTACAATTTAGTAACAATAGGATTGCAGACGGCCTCCAATTCTTTCTGTTTATCGGTGAATTCCTCCTTCTCCGCTAGTTGATTCGCGTCCAACCACGAGATTACTTCGTTGCATTTATTGATGATCTTCTGCTTGTCAGATGAATCGATCTTATCTTTGATCTTCTCATCCTCCATTGTACTCTTCATGTTGAAGCAATAAGATTCCAAAGCATTCTTGGCGGATACCCTATCGCGTTGTTGTTCATCTTCGTTGCGGTATCTTTCTGCTTCGTTCACCATCCTTTCGATATCTTCCTTCGATAATCGCCCCTTGTCGTTCGTGATGGTAATCTTGTTCTCCTTTCCAGTTGATTTCTCAACGGCAGAGACGTTCAGAATACCATTAGCATCGATATCGAATGTGACTTCGATCTGAGGTACGCCCCTAGGTGCAGGTGGAATGCCAGTAAGCTCGAATTTGCCGAGAATATTATTGTCTTTGGTCATAGCTCTCTCTCCTTCGTATACTTGGATCAATACACCAGGTTGATTGTCAGAATACGTGGTAAAGGTTTGAGTTTGCTTGGTCGGTATCGTTGTGTTCCGTTTGATCAAAGTTGTCATCACACCACCAGCTGTTTCTATACCCAGAGACAATGGCGTGACGTCCAGTAACAGTAAGTCTTGGACTTCTTCAGATTTGTCACCGTGCAAAATGGCAGCCTGTACAGCTGCGCCATAGGCAACAGCTTCGTCAGGATTGATGGACTTGTTCAACTCTTTCCCATTGAAGAAGTCTTGCAGTAATTTCTGGATTTTTGGTATCCTGGTAGATCCGCCGACTAGAACGATACTGTGAACATGTGCCTTGTCCATCTTGGCATCTCTCAGAGCCTTCTCAACCGGTTCCAATGTGCTTCTGAATAGATCCGCGCAAAGTTCTTCGAATCTTGCTCTGGTGATCGATGTGTAGAAATCAATGCCCTCGAAAAGAGAATCTATCTCGATACTGGCTTGCGTTGACGAGCTCAACGTTCTCTTAGCCCTTTCGCACGCGGTTCTCAATCGTCTAAGCGCCCTCTTATTCGAACTCAAGTCCTTGTATTTCCTCTTGAACTCCTGAACAAAGTGATTCACCATTCGATTGTCGAAGTCTTCTCCGCCGAGGTGAGTATCGCCTGCCGTCGACTTGACTTCAAAGATACCATCTTCAATAGTCAGAATGGAGACATCGAAGGTGCCACCTCCCAAGTCAAAGATCAATACGTTCTTCTCTCCTGAAGACTTTTTGTCTAAACCATAAGCTATCGCCGCCGCGGTTGGTTCGTTGATTATTCTCAAAACGTTTAAGCCTGCTATTGCTCCTGCATCTTTGGTAGCTTGTCTCTGAGAGTCATTGAAGTATGCAGGAACGGTGATGACAGCGTTGGTGATAATCTTTCCTAAATACGCCTCTGCTGTTTCTTTCATCTTCGTAAGTACCATCGAAGATACTTCTTCAGGGAAGAAGGACTTCGTTTCACCCTTGTACGAAACCTTGATTTTTGGTTTGCCTGCATCGTTCACCACCGTGAAGGGCCAATGCTTCATGTCACTTTGTACCGTTGCATCATCGAAGCGGCGGCCAATCAATCTCTTCGCGTCTGTTCAATAAAAAGTAATACGTTATCAGAAATATATCAGAAATACGAATAGATTGTGTAAATATTTAAAAGATAAGTTAATAGGAATAATGAATATGAATAGATCAATGAAATAATGAGATGTATAATTACATGATGTTTCTGTTAGTCTCTTCTGTTTCTTCGCAATGAATTCTTCACTTTTATCAAACAAAATTAACACTCGCGAAATGTTTCATGGAAACAAGAAACAAAAAAGAAATAATATTTCAAATTTAAATAAAATATCTAAAATAGAAGCATAAAGTCGCGCAATAGCGCAGTATATTCGATATTACGTCATTATATTTCGCATGACGAAAAGGAAATAAACATAGATATGAATGGATGTAGCACGAAACAATTGTACAAGGTCAGTAACGAAACCTAACACTAATTGTGAGTATGTATGTCGTAAAAGTCTGCACCTCCTTTGTGTAATGCATACATAGAGTACGCTAAATGCAAGCAAAATTTCCACGAGGAAAAAATATAAGAAGATCGATTTAGCCAAATAATTAAGTATTATATAACAGACATGAACAGTTATGTGTTGATCCAGTAAAAAAAAAGCATTTCCATGATGCGGTAGTACAAACTGAAGAAGCTAGAATAGAAAATGATGTAAGCGCCAGACATTGTGACCTTCGATACAAATAGTCAAATTACAATTTTCGTCCTACCGTACGATAACTTTAAAAATATTTACTACACGAAATTTAGTATTTAGCGTGGAATTTTAATTTATATCCTCTTCCATTAAAAAAAAAGAAAATCGTTTCTTCCATTTCGGTACTTACATCGTTTTGCCATTGAAGCTCTACAATTGTTACGATAAAGTGAGAATTACTCGTGAAAACTTAAGGAATGGAAATTAAAAAAATTGAAAAGGAGTGAAAATTAGAAGAAAATTGGTAAATTCTTGGTTAATGTCACTTACCGAAAATGGTGTTGTTCGGGTTCATGGCGACCTGGTTTTTGGCCGCGTCGCCGATCAATCTTTCTGTGTCTGTGAAGGCGACATAACTTGGCGTCGTTCGATTTCCTTGATCATTTGCAATGATCTCAACTTTTCCATGTTGGAAAACACCGACGCATGAATACGTGGTGCCCAAGTCAATTCCAACTGCTGGGGCTTTCGACATGTTTTATCGCTGTGAAAGATAAAAATTGAGGAATAGAAGGTTAATAAAAAATATTAAACGTTAAATTAATAAAAAATATAAAACGTTAAATTTAATTTTATTTCTAGAACAGAGTCTTGATCTCTCTTCTACTATTTCCGATTTGTATAGTAAATGTATTCAAAGCAGCATGTACGATGTAATAACCACTAAAGGACTGTATCTCGACAAGTATAAATAATCTCTTATTATTAAATCCTCTAATTAAAATGTATACTCGAAACACAATATTGAATAATACACAGGAAAAGAAGATAAACGTTACAAATGTATTAACTATAATTGCGTGTAGTGGTTATTTATAACTAATCTAAGCTACGTACTTGAGTTAAGATTTTCGTTGAATTGAGCAGTGAATTATGAATTATCAATCAGCGAGTTTGAATGAAACCAAAATTCACTCACAAATATAGAACCAGACACGAACCTTGCTGCCAGAAATTCAACGGTAAAACTTTCGTCACATAATTTTTAAATTCGTGAAAAAAAAAAAAAAATAACAATCGAAGTGTTTGAGACGTATCAATACTTCGTCGATATGATGCAACTTCAACATAATCTTCCTAGCGTTAATCATTTCGAACACAAAGAATTTAATAACTACATAAACTACAATTACAGCTAATAAACTGTAAGCACACTGTCATAATGCATTCAAACGCTTACCTTTGTATCGTTCGTTTCGTATATATGTAACAATAAGTCGTAGTCGTTTGGTTTTACTTGCAGTAAACACAATGTTCACTATTCGCTTGCTAAACTCTGTCTGAGCTCG